AGAGAAGAGGATAGAGAAAGATAGCAAGTGAACAATAGAGGGGATGTTAGTGAGAAACAGATATGGTTTATTATCTGTTGAAGATGACGTGTATAGTATTCTCAACTGGACTGGTCTGGGAAGTATTTCATGATGGGTGAAGTCTTTTAACAAGCAAAATGAGAAATAGTGACTGACTGTTTTAAAAAATTATAATAATGATAATTATTGGGAAATGCATGGAAAAGACATTGAATGATAAAGCGGGGAGATTGATGTCTCTGTATTGACTGACATGCATGGCATTCCCTTTTGAAAAAGCAATGGAAGTCAATGTAAAGTTATATGTAATCCAATGTAATATAAAGAAGATTATGATGATAATATAAATTAAAAAAATTTTTTTAAATAAAAAAAAAGATTTTGTCATCTTCATAATAAAAAAGATGAGGCTTATAACTGGATCACTTGACCCTTTTTCTTCTTACCTCCTCCCAGTTCAAAATGCTCGAATCTCTTAAAAGCCAGCGTCCTCTTAGATCTGCAGTTGGGCTCAACACATTCGAGCCTCAGCACAATCTTCTTTGTAGTTTTTGCCTTTTTCCAGAAAATAGGCTTAGTCTGTCCACCATAGCCACTCTGCTTCCTGTCATATGCCGCTGTCCCTGAGCACACAGAGAATCCCTGCCCTGTTTGTACAGCGTCACTTTACGAGGTTGTTGCTTGCCACACTTCTTACAGAAGGGTTTTAGGGACGTTCACCACGCTTGCTGGCCTACCATCTGCACAGAAAGCTGCACAGTACTTTTAAGAGTCACCCTCGGGCAGGCAGGTGGCATGGTGGTTAAAGGTGATGGGCTCCCACATGGCTGACTGTGGTTCAAGTCCCAGACTTGGCAACTTACTTTCTCACCCCTCTCTCTGTCTTTCTCTGGTCTAATTGAAAAATAATGATTAAAAACAAACAAAAAAAATCATTCTCTTTGGCAGTTTGACTGGCAGAAGGCATTCTCTCTCCTGTTTAGTTTTTGCTATAGGGCATGCGTGCTCACCAGAAAGAGACAGAGAAACTGAACAAGCCCTCCCGGGAGGACGGCCATGCTACACTCCCTTCTCTCGCGTCTCCTTGGGGTTTCAGGCACACACGCAGAGTCAGCCACGTGGGACCCAGCACCTTAACCTCCGCACCACCCGCTGGCCCAGTATTTTCTCTTTTTATAATCTATATTTTATTGTCTAACATTTTTAGTAAGACAAAAGTTTTATTTCGTAATTTCTTAAAACTTCAATAAAATAAAGTTTAAAAATTATTGTCAGTTTCTAAGTGGTAGATTGAGTATATTTACTCTTCAGAAGATTCCAAAATACTATAAAAAGGCAGAAATACAAAGATGAATTATCAATGAATCTAAATATAGAATAAATAATCTCTTTTTTCTTTTAGAGGTTTTTGCTGTAGGGCACATGCACTCCTCAGAAAGACAGAGAGATAGAGAGATAGAAAGTGAGAAATCGGGACCAGCAGTTAGCGTAATGGCTATGTCGCTGGACTCCCACGTAGTCGACCACGGTTCGGGTTTCAGACCCGGTGACTTAAACTCACGCCGGGCGCGTGTGCGTGCGTGCCCAGGATCCCGAGAGGAGAATGGAGGAGAAGGGATTGCAGTGTGGCCACCCCCCACTGGGGGGGGTGATTTCCTGCTTTCTGTCTCTCTGTCTCTCTCTGTCTGTCTGGCGAGCGCACGCGCCCTGTGGCGAAAACCTCTCAAAAAAAAAAAAAAAAGAAAGTGAGAAATCACCTCCCGGGGGAGATGGCCACGCCACAATCCCTTCTCCTCCATTGTCCTCTCGGGATCTTGGGCACACATGCACAAGTGCCCGGCGTGAGTTTAAGCCACTGGGTCCGGGACTTGGACCGCAGTTGACTACGTGGGAGTCCAGCCAACTGCTGGTCCCTAGAATAATCTTAATAGAGGTTGTGAAACTTGTGCAACTGGTAGGTGGCAGAGCCTGGATCTGAACGCAGGACGCCTCATCATTCCCCTACTTCCTCCCTGGAAAGCCAAGAGTTTCTGGGGGTGCGCGCTGGCTGCTCAGAGCTTTGCCAGTTTGGCTTCCTGAAGATGCCCCACCCCCAGCCCTGGCCTGTCCTTCATTGTTTACATTTAGCTCCATCTAGTGGAGGAACCTGGAACCTGGCCTCTGGAACCCCTCTGAGGCTCCTCACCTCGGTGTCTCACTTTCTTCATTTATTTACTTTAATTTGACCAGAGAGAGAGGGAAAGTGAGAAAGCAAGCTGCCAGGTCCAGGACTCGAACTGCAGTCGGCCATACAGAAGTCCAGCACCTTAACCATCATGCTGGCCTCCCCTTTTGTAACTGCCATAGGACATGTCTGTTTGCCTCAGAGACAAGGAGCAAGCACCCCACACAAGGGGCACAGTCACGCTGCAGCCCCTTCTCCATCTCTCCATCCTGTCGGGATTTGGGGCACCCAGGCACACCTGCTCGCCACTGGAGCCAGGATTTGAACCGTGGTCAGCCATACGGGATCTGGCTCCTTCAGCACTAGGCTACAGGACCAGCACGGTTACTCCTGGAGCCATTTTGAAGCCTGCAGCTCCGCAGTGTTCGGTATACCCCCCTGGTGTGTCACCATTATTTATTTTCAGAACTTTATCATCTTGTAAAACACAGGCCTGGGTTGAATCCAAGCAAATGTATCCCTAAGCGTCTTGGTTTTCCATCTTACGACGCGAGTCCAGGGCCTGGCACTCAGGAGGGAACCTGGCCTGGGTGTAGCTGGGGCAGCCCAGGGTGCCGATGTGGTCCAGGCTAGGAGACCAGGCCGCTGGGAGCTACCCTGACTGCCGCCGCCTCCTCCTCCTCACCTCCTCCTTCTCCCTTTCAACTCCTCCTATTTCCCCAAGACAAGGCTGGCACAGAGGAGTAGCCAAATCAGGAACAGATGCTCCACACAGGTTACAGTACCACCTCCCCTCCGTCCCTGCCACACACCCCTGCAGAGCTGGCGGTCCCTCACAGGGCTGTGAGCTGCGAGGGCACTGCAGACCTGGAGCAGAGCTGGGCACACACCTAGACCTCCACCCTCCACAAAGGGTCTCCCCTCTCCAAAGCCATGGCAGGGCAGGGCCACTCCTCCCTCACAATTCCTCCGTGGCCAGGCCAGCAGGTAGGCTGTTTGGAGCAGGCCTTTCAGTCCCTCCCCTCTCTCCCTCCTTCCCTCATCC